TTGGCGGGAGAGAAATAGTTTTCCAAGAAACAATCGTCCCAGGGATGACTATAAACAAGGTAACTGGAATAGCAATAAAACCAACTACCAAAATACCAATGCACCCTACGTCCCACCTCATAATCGCCAACCTCCGCAAGAAGATTCCTTGGCAAGGATGGAGAAGATGATGATGGAGTACATGCAGAAGATGAACAATCTAGCAGATGATATGAAGGAACGTGACAAGACACGGGATAGTCAACTCCAACAAGTGTTTAAACAACTTGGAGTTAGAGAACATGGGAACCTCCCAGCTACCACTGAACCAAACCCACGGGAGCAACTTCGGGCAATAACTTTGAGAAGTGGTAAGGAGCTTCAAGACCCAGAAGTCGAAGTCAATATAGATGAAGTACCCGTGGATAACCCTATAGGAACAACCCCGCAAAAGAAAAATGAATCCACGCCCCAAGGAGCGGGAAAGGAAGATACCTCTTCTAGCCAAACCCTACCAACCAAGCAAGCTCAGCTAAACACTATCCCTTTTCCTACTAGGGTGAAAAAGAACAAAGATGAAAAGGCTTTCCAAAAGTTTCTCGATGTCATTGGCCAAGTTGAGGTCAAAATGCCTTTGGTAGGTGTGTTAACTGAAATGCCCAAATATGGTAAGTTCTTAAAGGACCACGTAACTAAGAAGAGGGACTGGGAGGAATTCCCAGTTGTCAGCTTAAATGCTGAATGCTCTGCTATGTTACTTGAGGAAATGCCTAGAAAACGAAAGGATCCTGGATGTTTCATCATCCCTTGCTCCATCAATGATAGAACCTTTGGAGACGCTCTAGCTGACCTAGGAGCTAGCATTAATTTAATGTCGTCCTCTACCATGAAAGCACTGGGATTGACTGGACTTAAACCCACTCAAATGTGTCTTCAATTTGCGGATAGCTCTATTCGTTACCCCAGGGGGGTGATTGAAGACGTGCTTGTGAAGGTAAATAAGTTCATCTTTCCTGCTGATTTTGTGGTGTTGGATATGGAAGAAGATAAGGAAAAGCCGCTACTACTAGGGCGACCATTCCTTGCGACCGCAAAGGCATTAATTAATGTGCATGATGGGGAATTAACTCTAAGAGTAGGCAATGAAGACGTCACTTTTAAAATGATGAGTGTCATGAATCAGACTCCAGGCCCAGCTGAGTTCTGCAACTCAGTAAAAGTCATAAAAGATAAAGGGTCTGTAGAAGATCTCCTAAGCCTAGAAATTGCTTTTCAAGAACCTAAGTGTGAGGAGGTGTGCGACATCAAGACGCGATCTGAACCCACAAATGAAGCCACATCCTTAGAATTTAAACCCTTACCAGCACACCTCGAATATGCTTTCCTCGATAGTGAGGGCCAGTGCCTTGTTGTCATAGCCTCCGATCTAACACGTGATCAGAAGGAAAAATTATTAGCTGCCCTTCGTATGCACAAGCAAGCAATTGCCTAGAAACTAGAGGATATTCAAGGAATAAGCCCCGCTTATTGCACACATAAAATAACCATTGAGGACGGATTTAAACCAGTTGTGCAGGCTCAACGCAGGTTGAATCCAAAATTAATGGAGGTAGTGCAGAAGGAAGTGCTTAGACTCTTGGATGCTGGAATAATTTATCCTATTTCAGATAGCCAATGGGTGTCACCAGTCCACGTCGTTCCAAAAAAGGGAGGGATGACAGTAACCAAAAATGAGAAGGGAGAGTTAGTTCCAGGAAGAACGGTAACTGGATGGCGAATGGTCATAGACTATAGAAAGTTAAATGATGCCACACGTAAGGATCATTTTCCCCTACCTTTCATTGACCAACTCATCGAGAAATTAGCTGGCCATGCGTATTATTGCTTCTTGGATGGGATGAGTGGTTACTTCCAAATCCATGTAAACCTTGAAGACCCGGAGAAGACCACTTTCACTTGCCCGTTCGGAACCTTTGCATTCCGTCGAATGTCATTCGGACTTTGTAATGCTCCTGCCACCTTCATGAGGTGTATGATAGCTATTTTCGAAAAGTTTATAGGGGATTTTATGGAAGTCTTTATGGATGATTTCTCTATCACAGGGAAGTCATTTGACGAATGCCTAGGTAATCTGGAAAAAGTCCTCATAAGATGCGAGGAAACTCACCTAGCCCTTAGTTGGGAAAAATGCCAATTCTTAGTCAAAGAAGGGATAGTCTTAGGTCACAAGGTATCAAGTCGCGGGGTAGAGGTGGATCGAGCTAAGATCGAGACTATAGAGAAACTGCCACCACCGAATTCCGTAAAAGCCATCC